ACATGCAGCAAAATTATTCTCACTCATTACCAGTGGCTCCTTGAGAGAGTGGAAGGAGACACACTGTTTTCCACAGCTCCATCAGTAGCTCGCTAATTGAGCTGGAGGACAGGCTGCTTAATGAATACACAGCTGAGACCGCCCCAAGGGGGTGCGCGGGAGAGCTGGGGTAGGATACAGACAATCTTGGCAAATATACAAATATATTAAAAAGGGGGGGAGGGGAAGAGGGATTTAATTCTGGAAAGACCAATGCAAGATTCTGCTCTCAGGTATGAATAATCGCTGTGCCAAGGCAGGCTGGGGAGCAAGATTGCAGGAAAGGGTGACTCACAGGCGGAGCAACGTCATTCTGGGGGAGTTGGGGGGGGAGCTGTTGTTTTTATTCTTACTATTTATTTATTTTAGAAACAAGCTGGCTGTAATGTTTGCTTTTAACACGCTCATGAAGCAAGACACCCGCTGTTTGAAGCTGGCAAAGTCTGAGCCCAGAGGTTGTGCCCAGCTGCCTGCGTTACCCCTCCAGGTACAGGAGGAGCAGCCGGCAGAGCCTGCAGGATTTTATTCTGGACACAGCAAGTCTGCGAACATGCAAGAGGGTGCTGCAGGGAGTTACGAACATGCTCCCAGCATCCAATGAATAAATACAAAGAAGTAATAAGCTTAAATTTCAGCAGAGATTCAGGCAACTCATTAGGATGCCCTGTGAGCCCGGCAGCCCCCAGGGAGCTGTGGTGGGATGTCCAAGACCAGGACTTGAGCTAGAGATGGTCTGGATGATCTCTCAAGGTTTTTCCCAGCCCTACATTACTACTATCCCACGAAATGGCTGCGTAGCAGCGCAGGCTGCTCCTTCAGGGCACAGACACAGCCACTGCCCGAGCTCTCCAGGGCTTCCCAATGCTTGGGTGGCAAAGGCAGAGGCCAAGGCAAACCTCCATGAAGCCTCCCCCGCAGCCTGTGCCTTGCAAGAACTTTGTGTTATCCACCCGAGGAACGCAGGTCAGCTGCACTGCGGTGATCCGGAACCCCGGGCCAAGGGAATGCCCTGCAAACCCCAGGGGGGAAGCACAAATCCCCGTGCTGTTACCAGAAACCTGCCAGCTCACCCAGTGCTCCTGTGTCCAGCTTTTCCCGGGATGCAAGAAAACAAATAAAAAAAATCAATAGAGCAGCACACTAGGGCTGCGCGCGGGTCCTGCTCTTCAGAGAGAAACGGAGGTTTCTGGAAAAGAGTGGGGTTCAGAAAGCGGCACAACGCCCTTTCTGAACATCTCTGCCCTTCAGGCAACAGCCAGAGCCCTTGTCAGAGCACCCCCTTCACAGCTATTTGCTGGGCATTAAAAAAAAAACACCAACAAACAGACAACAAAAGGCAGCAGCCCTGTTGAGACAGCTGAAGAACAAAGTTTTTCTGTAAGAAAGGAAAAATCAAGGTTCACTCCCCATGTCCGAAGCAGCGGGTAGGAGGCAGCAGGCAGGCAGCGCTGTCGGGCAGGGAATGGCAGGGAGACGCCACCCAGTACTAGTGCCCCAGCAAGTATTCCATGAATAATCCCAAACCACCCCCAAGAGGCTGGTGTTCAGAAAAGGGCCTCCCAGAAGGAAAAACAACCAAAAACCAAACCAAAAACCTCCACCAGGTCCTATATATTTTCCATGCATTCACCGTAAGTCTCAGCTGGAGGGTCCAGGCAGGGAGACCCTTCCCATGTCACGGGGAAGCTGCAGGTGTAACGGGGAACGTGCGCCCCCGCTGTGCCGGGGCGTGTGGGGACACCCACAGTGGGCGAGAGGGGCCATGCCCCAGGGTGCTCCCATCCAGGCTTCCATGGGAAAAACACTGTGTCCGAGAGGATTGTGAAACATATCAAATCAGGGGAAGGTTCAGCCAGGTGACAGGTTTCCGGGGTGGGGGGACACCCACGGCAGCATCCAAACCGCGGTGCCAGACACCCCGAGCATCACTCTGCCTGTCAGAGGATGTTCTGCACAGGGCTGTTGCTGCTAAAACGCCCCCGCAAGGCAGCAGACGCTGTTATTCTCCATTGCTGGAAAAAAAGGGAAAAAGAGGCTTCCCCACTGCAGACAAACATCTGGCTGCAGCCAGATGTGTGGGGCAGGACCCAGCCCAGGTTTCCCTGCATGACCATGTTTTGAGGGCATCGCATTTTCCCCTTCAGCAGCAGCTGGGCACATACGGAGTGCTGGGGAGCCACTGCCACCACAGCTCGGTCCGTCTTGCTCCAGTGATGTGCCGGGAGCGGGGTGACAGGTACCACCACAGACCTGGCTGCTCGGCAGCAAAACAGCTTGTGCAGAGGCATCATTCGGTTTATTAATGAGCCAGCCCTGCTGTGTTTTGCAACCTTTTTTTCAGAATACAGTGAATCCGCCTTGGCAAGACCCGTAACAACCAGGGGCCGACTCCTTCCTTAGCTTTTATACGAGCCTCTACCTCCGTGAGCCTCGCCACCCAGCTCAGCCCCAGCACAGACCTGGTTGGTTCACATAATTACAAGGAAAGCAACACTTAAACACCAGGCAACACACCAAAAGGCAAACTCCTCCCTCCTGCCACACCAGGATGCTCAGCTACGTGCAGGTTCCCAGTGCCCAGGCTCGCCGCAACTGGGATCCAATGATTTCCTTGTGGTTCCCCCAGCTCTGCCCACAGGACAGACAAATGCACCGGTAGCAGCAGGAGCCTCTGCCCCTTCCCAAGCCCCACGCACAGCCTGGGGGGATGCAGCCTTACCTGGGGGTTGGCCGGGCCTCAGTGCCAAGGGAGCAGCAGCTGAAAACACACAGGCAGCCCTTGAGTGGCGTGGGGCTTTTCTGGCTCCCGGTGGGAAATGAGGGTTAGTGGGAATAGCAACTGGTGTTACCAGGTGTGCTTTCAGGTGTGATCCCATCTGCAGGCAGCTTCCCTCCCTCCCTGCCTCTCCTCAGTGGGCTCAGCACCCAGACCCCCCTCCCAAATACACCTGGGGATCTTTATTAGTGAACCGCGAGAGGCTGCAATGTATGATGCAGACCCCCTGCTTGCAGTCCATCCCCCTGCGCTGCAGTAATTAACAGGTTTCCCACAGCCGCTGTCACCTCGACCCGTGCGCCACTGTGGCAGCGGGTCCGGGGTGCCGTGGCAGGGCCTGGGCAGGGGGATGGGGTGCCAGGAGGATGCTCCCCACCACCCCCCCGGCAGCTCCTCCGTCAAACAAAGCAGCTGCTGAGCCTCTGCAGCCTCCTGGGGAAAGGAGAAATGCAAATACTTTTCCCTGGATATTGACATAACGCTATTCCTAGCACACCGTATGAATTCAGTAAGACTTGTAATTACAGCTGAAATTGGTATTTAACACACTTCCAAGAGTTTTAAGAGGAATCTTAGCACTTAAAAACTAACTCCCCTGCCTCTCGAGGTTTGATTTTGCTTCTTGAGTGTTTAGCGCCACCTCCTCTTAATAAAAAGAAAAAAGCAAAATTAGTATTGTCTTTGAAGAGATGAGACTCAAGCCTTCCCAGTCTTCACCATCTCTCTTGACATTGTCAAATATTCCTCGAGGCAAAACCTGCATCTCCCAGAAATGCGGGGAGGAAAGAAGCAGCAGAGCAAGTCCCCCATGCCATGCATCTTCCCACACTGCAGCCCTCTTCTTCCTCAAAGGAAAAAATAACCGTTGCACAGCGGACTTCTTAAATCACTAGATTTTAATAGCCATATAAATCCTTTGCATACAGCAATCTGTGGCATATGAGAAACCATATAGATAGCCAACAACTTTTTCTGGCTTGTACCGCATAAAACTATCAGCGATCTTTTTTTTTTTTTAAAACCAACTCCTGTAGTAGAAACAATAACGAAGCAATTAACAGCGAATTTCTAATTTCCTAAAAGAACAATGTTTCTTCCCTTAAAAAGAGCAGAGAAGCTGATGGGGAGTTTCAGATATATGTACAGTTCAGGGTACCTCAGAAAGACGGCGAGGAGACGGCTGTCAGCACCACAAGCGCGCGTACCCAGTCTGCGGGGGTAGGGCTCTAGCAGCACCCAGTGTCAACCCCCATGGAGGGCTGGGGGTGACCGAGGGGTGACAGCCGCTGCTGCTTTGCCTTCCAGAGGACCACGCACCACCTTGCCCTCCAGCAGCCATGGGTCCGCCGAAACCAGGACCAGCCCATGGGACACGCAGCGAGGGACGGCACCCGGGGAGGTGCAGGATCCACCCCATACATCACCTTGCAGGCTGCAAAGCGTAGCTTGTCTGCATTGCCCGTTCTTATCTATAATTTCACTCGGTCAGGGGTTATAATCATCAAGAGGACATACAAGCACACCGTACCTTCCCACGTCACCGCCGAGCGCAGCGTAGGCGAGCTGTCCCCCTCCTCGCCGCCCAACGAGCCCACATCCCCCGCACTATCCACATACACAGCCCGCTTCCACCCCTCACGCCTGGCTTCGGTGACGTCGGCATTTGCAGAATTCACGGAATTCATTAAGAAAATCGTTATTTACATCAACGTGTTCAGCAGCGTGATGCGATAGAAGAGCTGAGACAAGAGTTCGCCCGAGTTTGCTGACTCGCACCCTGCCCACGGGCTTATTGCTGACTCGGGCTCGGGGACCGCATCGCCCTGGGCGGTTTCCATCCCTCTGGTTCGCACAACGGCGGTGAAGCTGCTGTCTGCACCCCGAGTTTTCACTCGCTGTGTTCAGCCTCAGGGGCAACCATCCCCTGGGCAAGGCAGGCTGTGCGCAGATGCCATACCCTGGGCAATGTTAAGGCATTACATATACTCAGGAGCTGTTGGGGGATTTAAAAAAAAACCCACTCAAAGTGTAAACATTTTTGCACATACAGTCATTGGACTTCCGCGCATGAAGTTTTGTCTTGTTTTCTGCATAAATCACGACTGAGGGAGCTACACAAAAAGCACTCGAGCCTGGAGCACTGGGGTTCTCTTACAGCACGGCAGCATGCAACGCAACGGACTCTAAGGAGTAGAAATATTGTTAAGTCTCAGTCCAGGATGCTTCCTCCTTCCTACGCTTCTTATATAGTTTCGGTAAAAGTCATTAACAACTACGTGCCGGTAACTCGGGTAAGATGGGTGGCTGCATAAGGAGCTTCAGCACACGGCATGGCTAGCGCTTGGTGATTTCAGCTCGTTTCTACTTTGTCTCTAAGTAGAAAAGGGAGAGATTCTGCTTCCGTTCCTGTATCTATGGAGGTTGCTCAATGACCCCTAGGTCGCTGTGCCGGCGGTGCTATAGGTTTAGGTATCAGTGATTCTGCCTTCCTCAGGGACTTTGGCACATTCACCCCGATTCGTACAAGATCCCTGAGAACTGATCAAAGCTGCAGTACTTTACAATTTAAAAGACCCGGTGTGGGCCCTCGGCTCCCTGCCACGCTCATGCCTGCTTCTTGTTGTTGTCCATGTTGTGCAGCAGCGCCAGGAACTCCAGGATGAGGTTGGCCGTCTTGCGGGGTCGCTCCACCACCACCGAGTGCCCGCAGTTCTCCAGGATGTACACGTGGCAGTCCGGGATAGCGCTCGCTAAAACACTGGCACCAGAAACATCCAGGACCTGGACGGGAAGGGAAAAAATAGTCACTCCTATAGGCAGAGTTAGGTTTTACTGGCCACCATAGAAACCCCATTGGAGCTGCCTTTGCAAGTCCAAGCAAGATGCTGAGGAGGGATGCGGACAGAGTCCTTGTGACACCAGCCCCATCCCGTGGTACCCATGCCTGGGGATGGGACAGGGAAACTGCACGGTGCCAGTCTCAGCATGTGGCACGGAACTCTCTTGGATGCTTTGGGGCTGCCAGCTCAGTGCAAAGGGGTGCAAGCACACACTTGCACCTCTGCATTCACACAGCCCTTTGCGTGCCTGCAGCTTGCCTCCTTCCCCCTCCCACTCCTCTCTCTGTAACCAGCCCCATACATAAACGCAGAACAAGAGACAGAAGTCCCATGCCTTTGCCTCGCCGCCTGCCCACAGACAACACATCTCTCCCCAGTTGCCAGGGCAACTCTCTTTGCTGGCACTTTATTCTTCTTCCCCCCCCCCGCCTGCCGCGGCTGGTACCTGCCCCCCACCTGCCCCCTCGCCCTCCCCAGCCCCGGCTCTGCCCTCTCCTCCCGCGCTGGCTGCCACCTTTATGTCCATCACCCCACCAAACCTCATGTGCAAACCCACCGGGGACGGGGACACGCGTGTGCCAGCTCCCGGCTAGCGCAGCGCACAGCTCAGCAGCACAGCCTGTGCCGTGCTCCCGCGGGTGGACGCGGGCAGAGGTGGAGACATGGTCCCACGGGGGAGGCAGAGGGGGACGCGTACCTGGTCCTGTTTTCCCCAGATGACCTGCGTCGGCGCTTTGATCTTGCTCATGTTCTCGTGGAGAGAGTGCCTGGACTTTTCATCCACAATTTCTAAAAACACTAAGTGGGGGCAAGAGCAGAGTCAGTCCTACAAGGGGGATGCTTTGCCTTCCCTTCTCCCAGGGGTCCCTGCGGGCCAGCCCTGCCACTGCCCCCTCAGTGGGACACCCAGGCAGGGGCGATAGAGAGGGAGAGCCCCGACAGGCTGTCCTTGCGAAGGCTGAGTCCTGCAGCACTACCAAGCCCCTCTGCAGAGAGATCCTCCTCCATGCCCATCTCCTCATAGATATTAGTGGTAATTAACCCAGCTGGCAGGATGAGGGCAAAGCAGCAGCCCCATCGCCCAGTGGGTTGCTACTGGTGACCAAGGTGCATCCCCAAATTTGTTAATGACGTTGTCCCCTCCCACCCTCAGCAAGGCAGCAGGGGGATGATGGCAGCAGGGGACATGGGGCCAAGGACAGCCCATCCCCGTGTCCCGGGGGTCTGGCTGGAAAGCTTGGTGAGAGGGGCTGCCGCCGCGCACTTACGTTTCCGGTAAAAATCATTGTGTGGGATGCGAACGTCGACGAGGCCCTGGAGGATCTGCAGGGAGAGCAGAGGAGAGCTGCTGGGCTGGGGGGGACACCGGCATCCTGCAACGGGGCTGAGCACATCCCCGAGCACGGCAAGCGGCCGGGAGCGTGCCCCCGCCACCCCGACATGCCCTGCGCAGCCTGGCCCCGGCGCGGGCTCCTTCCTAAGCACGTCTGGCTGTCGCAACCGTGCTTAAGTAACATGTATTTCAGCAACAAGTATTTTTGTCTTTTATGATGTCAACCCAATTTTATCCCCCAGGGCAGCTATCCACTGCCAGCAGGCTGCCTCAGCCATGACTGTGCTTTTCTTCCTTCTTTTATTCTTTCGCTAAAAAAACCCACCCAGGTCTTGGCATTACCTTACATTCTTTTCTTACTCTCCAATCTACTCATCCCAGACTTCCTAAGGAAAACCAGCTAAACGGCCAGACCCTCGCCAAGTTCCTCTCGCCTGACAATGAGGCGATTAACATTTCCATCGCTTTTGCTTAAAAAGCAGCAAACAATCCCCCTCCAGGCCAGACAACAGCCGCCTTAGTTATTTAATGCTTCCTGCCAGCCATATTTACTAAAAAACCTTTCGACATCCCAGCCCGCTGCCAGAGACCTTGCAGGAGGAGGAATTTCAGGGGGTGTTGCCAGAGGGAGCTGGGAAAAGAGGGTTTGAAGGGAAAGTGCTGGAGAGGTGCTGGAAGCGGGGCTGGAGGTGTCCCGCCTGGGTGATGGAGGCGATGGCAGCACCGGCTCTGCTCCTGGCACTGCCTTGGCTGCCGGCACACACACTCGGGGAGAAACAAACCTGCTCCCCATCTCCCAGCTCCCCCTTTCCCGGCCGCCACAGCCATCCCGGGCTCCTCACCTGCTGCGGCACCTTGAAGCGGACATAGGAGCAAAGCTTCAGCATATCTGCCATCTCCTCAGGGGTCGAGGGAATTAAAGGGATCCTGTCGATGCATTCGGACTCTTGCAGCTCCCGGAGCTGCTTAATGAACTTGCTGTCGGTGGTACTTGGCAGGCCTGGGACGAAGGAGAAGGGGGGTGCAAGTTAAAACCCAGATGAGACCTGAGCATCACCATATCAACCTGCCTTGTCCCTGCCTCTGGCCTCCCACTTCATAACTCATTAAATAAAATAAAAAAAAAAAAGGGGAGTGGGAAGAAAAAAAATCTGTACATACCGCAACCTTAGTATGTACCCAGAGATACCCCAGCCTCCCTCCTGACCCAAGGCCAGATACCACAGAGCTGACATGGGCTGAGGCAACACGAGGTGTATTCCCTGTAGACAGGCATGAATACTTTGGCAAAAATTATAGTGTTTATTTTTATGTGGACAGCGGATGCAAATACTAATGCCCATGCCCGGCCTGCCACAGCAAAGGGTCAGACAGAAAATTTCAGAAGCCTCATCCGCATGCACCACCGCGAGGCCAAAATCCCCCAGCAGCAAAACCCCAAAACCTCTCTGCAGCCCCCCCTCCCCGAGGTTTCAGCTCCCGAAACGCTGGGAGAGTCAGCCAGCATCTCCCCCGGAGCGGAGCGGGAACCTTGCCACCCCCGGAGCCTGGTAGCTAGGTAACGTTCGCTTTGCTTCATTACTTATTTCTTATCTGGGAGCCACTTTCCTTGTGTGGGAGGGGGAAGGAGCTGCTATAACAACTGGGATGCAGCAAAGCTCTCCCTGACAGAGAAGCGCTCTGCCAAAACCCCCGTGCCTCCTGCAGCATGTCATGCTGTGCTCCCCTGCCCACCCCAGCCAAGGGGGCAGTGGGGACGAGGGGACAGTGGGGATGGAGGGGACGGTGGGGATGGAGAGGTGCTGCATGGGCACAGGGACACCCCACGGACCTGTGCATGGCCCCAAAGCGCTCTTCCCATTGGGAGCACTCAAACGTGAGAGGACCGAGCTCTCCAGCTCCTGAAGCCCCAGTCCTCTGGCACACTGGGGCTCTCACGTGGCCAGACTGGGGAGGCTTTTCCCATCGCTGCCTGGGTTCCCCCTCCAGAACTGAGAGGCTACAGATGCGCCATGTAAAACAGCTGCCACCCCAAGGGGAAACGCATTTTCTTCCAGAGCAGGACTTGTCCCATTTGCCCTAGTCCCAGCTCTAACCACAGCACAGTGCAGCAAACTCCAAAGCCCCGGAGAAGAGCAGTCAGGACAAAGCTGTGATTTCCTCCCATGCCCTGCCAGAGATTTTCAGGCTGTACATACAAAATATTTCAAAATGCTTTGCACTAAAAGCCTATTTTGCTCCCAGCACTGCTCTGGGCTTTTGCACCGGCTCCTGCACACCCTCTCCCCATCTCGCCTCCCCCGCGTTGCCCACCTGCAGGACAGATGAGAGTCAGGCTGCAAATATCTTCTGGGTACTGAGCGGCATAGACGCCGGCTACATTTCCCCCCATGGAAGTGCCAACCAGATGAAAGGGCCGTCTGTTCAGCTTGATGCACTCCACGAACTGGCAGGGGAGCAGAAGGAGCGTTGTTAGGGGAGAGGAAGCGACAGCATGGGGTCATTAGAGAAATTCAAAAAAGGTTGAGGCCAGCAGCTCTGGCTGCCTGGGAAGGGCTGTGGGTGGGAGTGGGGTCCCGCGAGGCAGAGCTCGCAACGCTTAGCATCCCTCACATCCCCACGTCCCTCTGCAGAGGCGATGCGACGCCAGGGCGTTACCTGGTGTATTCTCTTAGCTTGCCCGCTAATGGAGTAGTCGTCCAAGGCCGAGCGGGTTGTGCCCTCGTGCCCGGGCATGTCAACGCACACCAAGTGCAGGTTCTTCGGCAGGAACTGCAGAAACAAACCAGGGGTGGTTATGGCGCAGGGGAACTGCTGCAAAGCCCAGAGATGGAAACCGGTGACCGCAGGTGGGAGTAGGGGTGGGGGACACCCTCCTCCTAGCAGCCCCTGCTTACTCGTGCACCACAAGTCATCAGCCAAGGATGACATGATGAGAAACCACGGGCAAGACTCGCTTCCCATGGAGGAGGCAGGTACATACCGCTCTCCCCTGCAGCTCTGCATGTCGTAGAGATGAAAGGGATCCAGCAAGCAACCAGCACAGAGCTGAGGAGGGTGTCTCTAGCACATCACAGCCATTGTCACAGCCCACGCATGCAACTGTTGGGTCCCCAAACCACCACCCCTAAGTCCAGGATCACTGTAGGGAGCGACATGACAGAAATGGAGTCCCACCTTGACTATGGACAGCCACATGTCTTTGTGGGCTGAGAACCCATGTAACATCAGGATGGACGGTCGGTATCCAGGTCTCCCTCTATAGGAATAACAAAACTGATAGTCATCGTAGTTTGCATATCTAACCTGCATACCCAAGGCTCGGCGCCAGTACCTGGAAACAAGGAGAAAACACCACCAGTGAGTGAGGCAAGACCAGGGCCCAGAAGCAATAGAATCCAGCTCACAGGTCTAAACTCAGCTGCAGATTTGCTAGTTCGATAAGGCCAGTTATGCTGGGTCTACACCGACGCTATCCTGGCCCTAACTGGGACTAATTCTGAGCATCTGGTGCCTGGACCAGACCCTGTGCTTACGTGTGAACCCTCACATGTGTAGCACCGGCCACTGGCTATTCATGGCTGCCTTGGAGATGGCTTGTGGAGACACTCTGTTAAAAACTTCAAAAAAATACCCAAAATAACTAATGTGCACAATTCCCTCAAGGAAATTGAAATGAGCTGAAACAGCAATCCTAAGACTGAAAACGCCCAAAGCTTGGTATGAGGAGAGAGGCTGAAGAGAGGAAGGCAGCACACACGGCGAGGCAGCGTGCAGGACAGGCGGGCCAAGGGAGGCACTTGTTCCAGGTGGGTAAGGTGGATCTGTCATGGGTTTATTTGGGCACAGCCCCACAGCCATGGGACAACATCACCCCATGGACAAGCACATCAAGTCCCAGCCAAAACAACCGTGTCACCAGGAGCATCACAGAAACCCGTTTCCCATATGCCAACTAGATGATCTTTAAGAACGTATTCATACACATGCGAAGGACCGGAGGGGACCATCCTTACCCAGGGTCGAGCATCCCAGAAGATACTGGGCTAACCCCAGGGAAACCTGGGTTATTCCTCTGAAAGCAAAGCAGCAGACAGCTCCTGCCGGCGCACGCTTGCAGCCTGCTCAAAGAGGATGCAGTGAAACTGCCGGCCAGAGGGGACCTGGACAGAGATTATCGGTGACACTTTGGACACATGATGTGTACGTGCAGTCCAAGACGAAGGAGCAGGCATGCTTTCACTGCATTTCCCCCCTGTTCAGACCTAACCCTTGTCAGGACAACTACCAGACTACTCCTGATGGCCAAGATACCGGCAAATATTTTTATACACAATACCAGAATTTATTCAAGACACAAGAGCAAGGTCACCAACACTGCTGGGCTGTCCTAGCTCTCTGCCCACTCAAAGCTTATGCATGGTGCAATCCTCTTTTAGCATAATCCCTTTTTGGAGGGAGTTAGTGGGACTTAAGCAGCATCTCGGCTCTGTGCTGGTCCTACAAGGAGAGGTGAATTTCTCCCTGAATAAGTGTCTTAAGAGTCCTCGCCTCAAAGGCACCGGTGTAAACTACTGATGGGCAAGATGATAACATTTTTAGCAACTGATCCTGATGGATCAATTCAGCAGAAGGCAAAATAATCTGTGCAAAGCTGAACTGATCCCTCGCAAGGTGTTAACACGCTTAGCGGCAGCGGCTAAACTGATTAACCCCTGTCGGCAGAGCAGGCAGGCTCCGGGGCCGGGGTCAGCGGGGCAGCCCTGCACGTCACACCGGGCATTAGTGGCAGGGGAGGGAGCGAGGCCACCAGCGATGGGGGCCCTGCGTGACCCTTGGCCACGCCGGCTGAGGACATGCAGACCGGCAGTGAGGAGGAGAAGGGGGGGAGGGAGTGGTGGGAAAAGGGAGAAGTGTCCCCTGGGACATCTTAGGGACCTCCCGGGAGCGATGTCGCAAAGCTGGAGCTGCACGGGGCTAAAAGGGGGAGGGCGGCACATCATGCTGTCTGCCCCCTCGCCTGCCTCTGCCCATGGGGAAACACAACGATTTTGTCCCCCAAAAAGCCAGCTCAGAAGGAGGCACATAGGAAATTAAGAGTAGAGGGCAAACCCGCTCTTCTCGCCCGCTGTTCCTAAGAAAAGAGGTGCCCATGAAACACAGAGTGTCACAGTTACTCCTGCAAGATGGCACTGCTGCCAGAAATGCTGGAAGAGAGAGACATGGGGGCCCTCACCCTTCAAAAGCAAACAGCCCTGCTCATCTCTGCTCACACGCTCCCTCCCTCAGCCAAACACAGACTGACCCACCCACCGTGCATTTTCACTCAGCCTCTAATTTGCACCCCCGAAGGATGATGCAGCAGGGTCTTCTCTACCTGCCTCCCAGCCCAGCTCCTCAAAGCTCCCGGCATCAGCCCCTTGCGCCTCCTCTGCCCTGTGCGGCCACCCCTGCCGGTGGCCCTCTGAAGGCTTCACCCCAGCCACACGCGCTCTGCTCTGGTACAGCAGCGTTTCTCCGGCGATCCTCCCCTGAACCTGAGCCCATCAGGGTCCTTCCTGGCTTCCACCGTCTGCTCGAACGTCCAAGGGAAAAAAAAAAACCTCTGACGAACCCGGCACCATCTGGACCTGCCCCAGGCAGCAGCCTGGATGTCCCTGGGGCAGGAGGCTGTCACACCGCCTGCTCTCCTTTGCAGAGCAGCGTTTGGCCTCACAGCCCCCCACAAGATGCACAACGTGAGGAAATTCTCCCCCGTGCCAATCCAGTCTCTGGGGTTTTCATCACATCTTCCCTCCTCTCTCAGCCCTTAGATGTTGGGATTAAAAGGTTGCTAATAAATGTGCCATTAGAAACAGGCGTCATCACGCTGCTGAATCTGAGTGCTGGGGTGAGCTTAATGTCTTTGATTTGGAAACACCCCGTGAGCAAAACTGCAGGAGCCACCATCTGCCAGCAGCACGTGAGGGCAGCCCGCTGTGCCGCCCGCACCGGACGACGAGGTGCTGCCCCGGCTTCTGATGGCAGCGTTATTCCAGCTTTCCCCTGCAACAAACCCAGATGGGAATGCCACCAGCATGCTTATCACTGATGTCCGGAGACAGGCGAGGACTGAAGGATGCAGTGCCTGCCTCCCGGTATTGGAAAGGAGGAGATGCCAGGGGGTAAGGAAAAGCATCGCTCCGTCTTCTCTGATGCTCCAGCCCAGAAGAGAGGGGGAGAATGAGAAAAGCCTTGTCCGTAACTACAAGCGAGAGAAAAGTCCCTGCCTGTGGAGCAGGCTGGTAATCAGGAGGGACGTGTGAGCCAGAGGAGACACAGCAGAGCCAAGGACACCCACACCGACATCTGCATTGACGAGGCGGGGGGCCACCAGCCTGCCAGGGCTGCCAGGCTGGGGGACAGGCAGCATCAGCAAAGCTTTTCCCAGCCGCAGTCCCACCCTGGGGGGAACAACCCAGAAACGTTCAGAGACATCCTGCGGCCCGCCTGAGGCTGCCCTGGCAGATAGGAGCCTCGGCAGCAAAAAAGCAATAAGAAAATGTCATTTTGTGCTCCCAGAGATTCTTAAAGCTACACGCAGCCAGTACGCCCGTGGAAAAAACCACCCCACCTGCGCCTACCGCCACCACCGTCCGTGCCACCTTGCTGCCCGTGGCTCTTCGTGCACCCGTGTGTGTGCCAGGACGCAGGGACCTGATGGGGACCAGCAGTAATTCCACCCCTGCACTAAAATGAGAGCAGCCGGGGCCCAGCTAATGAACTCACCAGTAGTAGATGCGGATGAGCGCTGAGGGCCAAAGGAGGAAGGAGGCCACGAAGGCCAGGATGGGGATGGCCAGGGTGCCACCGGCAATGACAAACATGTTCAGCACATCCAGGTCCATGCTGCTCTTCACTGCCTGGCCTCACCTGCCCACCTTTAGGGAAGGATCAGAGGTTAAACACCAGAAACAGTGACAAGTTGATACTAAACGAGATCTCTGCCTCCAGGGACAGAGGAAAGCAGGTCTGCGAGAGGCAAAGGATACCGCTCAGGAACGCAGCAAAGTCTCTTTCAGTTTTAAAACTCAATTATTTGTTCTGGTTCCTTAACGCATCTAATTATTGCAATGTTATCCTCTCAGGAGAGCACATCTCAAATGGGCAATGAGCCTCCTTGACAGGCACAGACCACGTCCAGGGCAATGGGGCACTTTGGGGACGGGGGGGAACACACAGCCCCGCTGTGTTGGGTGCAGGCAGCCCTCTCCCCCCTGCCCTGGGTGCAGGCAGGGCTGCCTTAACACAGGCCCCACACTGCTTTTCGGAGGCAGGCGTCCAGCTCCGGCTCCCCTCCCCCCTGCCCAATCCCAAATCCCCAGGACACAACCACTGACCTAGAATTGATGGCTTGAGCCCGGCTCTCATTACCGCTCCGCACAGGCACCAACTAATCAAGGGAGCAGAGCCTATTAATGGGCTCGGGAACTGAAGGAAACAACCTGGCAAGGCGCTCTTTGGCCACCAGCCCTTATCTGAGACAAACTCATCCTCACCCCAACGTCCTATTCCTGCCCCATGGCCGTTCTGCACTTGCTGTGGATCACAAGTCCCCATCCTGGCTCCCGAGCATCCTTCGGGCAAACCTCAGGGGTGGCCGGTGGAGGACATGGGGTGCAAGGGCGAGCTCTCACGCAACGCCACGCTCGTCCCTGAACTCGCCCCACCACAGCCAGCTGGGATATATTTTTCTCATTAAGAGATTAAACCCTGCCGCACACACATCTCCTCTAATTCCCCCTGCTAACCAACTTATGTCTAGCCCTCTCCTCAGCGCTAGCTCTTTTGTCACACATCTATAAAACGAAACCTCCTCGGTGCCTGCTCTCCCATCCAGCCACCCCCCCACATCATCACCACCACATTTCTCTGTGCCGGGACAGGCAGAGTTATTTCTGCTTCCTGCAAGGCTCACAGCGGTATGCGGTACGCTGTATGTTACGCCGTGAAGCAGGAACCGAATCACCGCAGTCACGTCCTCTCCCCCTCCGACGCCATCACGCTGGATCACATCAAATCCCCACATTACACACAACCAAGAAAAACGGTTTACAGAACCTCTGAAACAACAGCCAGGTTTTCCCCTCTTGCCTCAGGGAAAATACAAATAACTGAAATTTGAGGAATAACTGTAAATATTTCCACCAGGCACCTCCTTAAAAAAGCTAATTTCCTTCATTTCCTTTTTCAAGCCTCAACAACACACCGTTATTCGTTTAATTAACATTTTGTAAAAGATCTTTGATCTCTGAGCGGCTTGTTCAAACGTAAGCATTTGTTTATGTATGATACATATAGATAAACCTTGTACAGGAAAGCAAGGGCTGCACGGGAGCTCACCTGAGAGCACTTGCTGCCTTTCGCTATCTCACTAAAACAGGGAAAGAAATTAAGCACGGGAAAAGCACCATCGTCCCCACCAGTGACCCGTACCGAGAGAAGGTTGCAGCTAGGGTTAAGCGCAGGGCGGTGGGAGCCCCTGCGCTCCCTGGTGTGGGGTCACCGCCTCCGCCGCTCTTGGAAAGCAAAACAAGAAGGAGAAAGCCTTTAAAAAGCTCAGCTTACTTTGCAGAGATCCCCTCCTCCTCTCGGCACAGGTCCTGCTCGCTGTGGGTAGTGGCAGTGTCTGAAAACACTGTCGGAAGAGGGGAAAGAAAAAAAAGGTTAAAAATCGCGCTCCTGCTTTTTTTTCCTCCTTTCAGGCTCGGTAGCCAGGCGAGACGGCGAGTTTGGGGTATTTAAGCCTCCGGTTTCCCTTCAAGACGCCTCATCTTCACCTTCTGACCAACCTTTCCCCTGTTTATGTAAATACAGTCTTTTGTGCAATAAAGCCAAACCCGGGCACTTGTTCCAAGCAGGACCAAAGTGCAAGCTGCCATCGGAGAGGGAGCGGAAGCCAGCGCGGCGCTGTGAGCGGAGGCCAGCAGCCCCCGCCGTGGCAGGGCTGCGGCACCCAGCGCAACAGGGCTCATGGTTGCGCTTCGGGTGATTACAGCTATTAGAACAAAGCCCGCTAAGCTCCTTCCCATCCCCTTCCTCTTCGTCTTAAATGTAATTTTCCAAATGCTCTCAGTGCTTCCCCTCCTCCCCCCCGCCCCGAGCCTTCCCTGTGCAAGTTGGGTTGAAGCGTAGCGCAGCCGCAGGAAATTACTGGAGAGGCAGGAAAACGCCGGCCTGAACTCGCCGGCAGCTTTCGGCTGTGGAAATTCAAGCTGGAGGCACAGTGGGAGCACCGGAGCCTCCCTGCATGTGCGCTGGGGGATGCTTTGAGCCAGAAAATCCCCAAGAGATCCCCACTGCTGTGGCTGCAAGGCCAGGGGCACCCTGGGGGGGTCCCATCCCCGTTGTGCCGGAATGTTTCGGCCGGGCCATGGCCGGCGCCGC